CCCCCCTCGTGCCCGATTCCCCACCGCTCCTAGCCGTTGCAACTAGCCATTTCTCTCTTTCATTTTTTTCACCTCCTTTCTTTCTAAGATCTTGCCTTTGCTGTCCCCTCCCAACATATTTTTTTTTAGGTCTAAGTAGCTTTTGTGTGATTTCTGGTTTCAGGTTTGTCATTACGGCATTCCCCTCCTGAGGGGTTGTATCCGACGACGAGAGGTGCTTTGGTTGTACCTCGCCAGAGGTGGTGATTACCCCACTCCACCATCACTGTCAACCACTCCACGCCTCCTCCAACATGCCACAGGACTCTCCAGTCCCTCCCAGCTCCTCTCCAGACGTTGCCTTCCATGTTTGCGCCTCCTCTAATTAGCGCAACATCTCCCGGTTCCTGTCAACTCTTTTCCAGACGCTGCCTTTCATTTCTACGTCTCCCTTAGTCAGTCGCAGGTGATCCAGGTTTAACTCAACCCTTCTCTAGTTGCTCCTTTCTTTTTCGGTGCCTCCCCCATCAACCACAACACCTTCAGATCCTCCCAATGCCACTCCAACCACCGTACCCCCTTCCGACGCCCTTTCTAACAAGCTGCAGTCCTCTCACAACATCCCTCCAGTGCCAACGTTCACTCTGACATCCTCCTAACTGTCGCCGACACTTCCCCAACCCTTCTGGCAGAGTCTCAGCCACCACCTTGCATTGTCTGGGACTATTCTTGCCCTTTTGTAGTACTTATTTTATTCCTTGTTGAGTAGTTACTTCTTATATTATTGTTAACATGTTTGTATTGCTTTTCGTCCGAGAGTCCACGTTGTACATCTTTCGAAACTAACAATAAAATTGTGTCGTTGGAGTCGTGGTTTGGGTTAACTTCGATATCAAAGAGCATATGATTTAGAGTATGTAGTGCGGGAAGATTTGAACTTCCAATAAAATGTAACATTAGAAAATTTAATTATATATGCTTATTAAAATATAGAAAAGAAAACCAAATTCGACATTTCTAGATGGAGAGAACTTGAGATTTGTGTAATTTAATAGATTTTCTTAAATTTGAGTCTGGGATAAAAAATGTATTTTTTTAATAAATCAAACAAATTGTTGGTTAGAAGTTTTAAGTGGCCTCTCATAAATGTCAAGGTTTAAATTAAAGAATGAAAGAATAAATAATGGTGCAAAACATTTTTTTCCTTTATTATATGTGGGCTAGGGATTCATATAGCCGACCCCACTTAATGGGATAAAGGCTTGCTGTTGTTGTTGTTGATGTGTGGGCCAATGTTAAAAAGTTATTTCTGACTATATGGTGGATGAGTTCTTAAGTTTCATAAAACTACAGATTAATAAATTTAAAAAATGCATTAAAAGCTTTCTTTTGAAAAGGAGCATGTTCTTTGGAGTTAAGTTTTATGAATATGGGAAAAGAGTAATTAGATCCATCTGCATGTTCTTTTGAGTTAAGTTTTATGAATATGGGCTCCTCATTTTATTCCAATAGAGTAAAGTACAAAACCGGGAAAGTACAATCCAAAAAAAAATAAAAAAGTTTTATGAATATGGGAAAAGAATAATTAGATCCATGAAATGAGAAATTTATCCAATAATCTGTGAGACAAGTGCCTAAAGTAATGCTGAACTTAGGTTGATTAACTATGCTTTATATTTTTGTGATGCATAAACTTTTGGTAGTTCAAGTGAGGCTAGAAACTTAAGCATTAGGGACTGGAAGCTTTGAACACATTAAATTTTTATAGGGCATTAACATACATAGCACATAATTCTAATGCATTTACATATGTCACACCTAAACTTTCATATTTACACACATAGCACTCAAATCTTTAATATCACTTAAAAAATAACACTATTACCAGTTTTTAAATGTGAAATACACCTTTTCATGCATAGGATCAAAGCACCAAATTGCTATGCATGTATATATGGAAGTTTAGTTGTTTGATATGGAAATACATACGAATTGCGTGCTATGTATGTATATGCCTCTATATTTTTAATTTATGAGCTTTAAAGTGATTCGAATCATTTTGCAAGAGCTTCACTTTTAAGCTGAAATATAGTAAAATCCTAAACGAGTTTTTTAAATCGGTGATTTATGGTGCAGTTAGTCAAGAAGCGGTTAACTACTGAAGCTGCAGCAGCTGCTAACCAGGTAGGCAGGTGGAGAAATCAAATGCGTAAGGCTGCTCATGATGGCTGCTGTAGGCGTGTTGCACAAACTCGAGCTCTGAGTTCTGTCATCTGGAAACTTCTTGTTTCTGAAAACCTGGTTGATGTGCTCTCCAGAATTGAGAATCCCATGGTACGTTTTCTTGCGGATTATGGCTCCTTTTGGCGGAGTTTTTGTTTTTATAAAATTTTCTTTGAAAGATTTTTTTTGGAAAGTCACGCTTTAAAGTTATCTGGAAACAGCTACGGTTTCAGAAACAGAAATGAAGGTTTCTCGACTTCTATAGAAGTATTGTTGACAAACAAATTTTTTGACTTTCTGTAAAACGGAAAGCTGTATAAAAAATCTTCCATATAGGGCCTATGAGAATTCTAATCACCTTGAAACTTTTTCCCTCGAAAACATTTTGTTTTGAGATTTCATATTTTCGTGTAATATATCCCTTTTAATCAGTTAATATTAATATTTATATATATTTTTTTGAAACTTATACATGATTTTGAAGGTTAAAGTCCTCGCGGACATGGAACTTTGGGGTGTGGGTGTTGACTTCGAAGCTTGTCTCAGAGCAAGGCATGTTTTAATGGGAAAACTCAAGGAACTTGAACATGCCGCACACAATCTGGCTGGTGTGCCATTTTCTCTTTATTCAACTGTGGACATTGCACATATACTTTATACTCGCTTGAAATTAACGATACCTAATAATAGGAAGAGTGGAAAGCTTCATCCTAGCACGAACAAACGCTCTTTGGATCTATTGAGGTTTTCTTCTTCTTTATTTTCTCAACTTCATTGGTTTTGAGAAGGCTTGTAATTTACATATCCGTAGCTATTGTTTGAGAAATAATTTGTGTACAGACTGTGCTTCCGCTGGAATATCTTTAAATTTGTTTTTGTTTGTAACAGCATTAATCCTAATGTTGGTAGATTGCAAATGTATTCACAGACACGCACTGAATTGAAGTTGTGTTGTACATTTATTTGGAATCGTCAGCGTTCAAATTATACAAATTCATAAATGCTATAGTTTGATTTACAGAGAAGGCTGGTGTCAGGTTTTTTAGCAGAGTTTTATAAATCCTTTAGATTTGAATTTCTCAAATCTAAAATTATCTGCTTGGTGAAAAGAAAGAAATTAAGTATATGCTCATTTTTAAAATTTGGATAACCGCCTGAATACCAGATAAATGCTAATTTCTGCGCAAACATGAAAAATTCATAATGATGCACCATGCCCTTTTCTTTTACAACTATTGTGGTGAAATCGTGGTTTTCCATATTTTATAGCTCATTTCTGTTCCCTGCTCTGTTTTGTTTTGAAAGCTCGTGATAACTGATAAAATTGGCTGTTCCTTGGTGGAAGCTTACTGATTAACATATCTTTATTGTAGGTTTTGCTGTTTTATAATTCTTGATTGAAGCTAATGTTTCAAAAACTTTAATTTCGATTTCATGATGTTATCAATGATTATGCGCATCATTGCTTCTAAAATTGAAAATTCACTTTTTTCCTTTATTGTTTTGTTACTATGTTAAAATAGTTCTTACTGCATTCGGGCTGGAGTTTTGTCAATTTGCCCGGCCCGGGCAATTGGAATTGCTAATGCGGGAATGGACAGTTGCACAGTAGTATCATATCAGGGCAACCATTTCAATAATTCACACCAACCATCATCCAAACAATAAAAACTCCTAAATCATTATATTATCTAAAACATTATCCAAGCCAACATAAAAATTACATCCAAGTGCAATAGTAATAGTAAGAAAGGAATCCAAATATAAAACAATAATGTTTAATACTTATTTTCATTTTAACATCTTCTGCGATAGACAAATTAATGCAGTTGAGCTTTTTTGGAAAAAACAATAAAACAACATATAAAGCTTACCCCAACTTAGTAAATAACTACAATTTTATTATGCACTAAATTCTAATGCAAATACTTAAAATAAACCTGATTATTAATTTTTAAAGTAAGCTTTAAAAATTTCATTCCAATAAAAACTTTTATTAAATAGTTTTTAAACATTTACATTTATAGGTAGTTTAGACAGTTCATAAAGCATTCCAGCCATTGACTTACATTTCAGCTATTTTTGCAGGGGACAACATCCCATCATTTCAGTTATTAAAGAGCACAGGACAGTTTCAAAGCTAAACAGTACAATAGGGTCCATTTGCTCTCGAGCTCGGTTGTGTAGTAATTCCCAAAAGTATATAGTGCGGGGTCATTGGCTTCAGACTTCAACAGCTACCGGGAGGCTTTCAATGGAGGAACCAAATCTTCAAGTAAATTTGCCATCAACGTTAATATATTCGTCATTTTTATTAACATCTTTATAACAATAATTTATGCAAATTCAGTGTGTCGAACATATGGTTAACTTCACGGCCCATGATCCCGATACGAAGAACTCAAGCTCATTAGATAGCGATCGTCATCAAATAAATCCTCGTGATTTCGTCATTCCTACTCAAGTAATTGTTTATTTGCAAAGAAAAGTGTCAAAACAATCCCCGACTCTTTGCAGAGTCATTTTAGTTCCAAATTCTATAAAAGTGTCAATTTAGTCCCCAGTCTCTTTTAATAAGGGCTGAAATATTCCCATGGAGGACTATTTCGGCACCAATTTAAAGAATCAAAGGATTAAAATACACTTTTATAGACTTCAGACTAATTTGGCCCCATGTAAAGGTCTGGGATTATTTTGACACTTTATTCGATATTACTCATTTTTTACTTCATATTGCATGATTAAAGTTTTGTTGGATCAAATGTTTCCTTGGATGAATTGCAGGAGAATTGGTTATTTCTCACTGCTGATTACTCCCAAATAGAGCTACGACTCATGGCACATTTCTCAAATGATTCTTCACTAGTTGCATTGCTAAGAAAACCCGATGGTGATTGTTTCACGATGATAGCGGCGAGATGGACTGGTAAGCTGGAGTCTACGATTAGCTTGAAGGAGAGAGAGCAGACCAAAAGATTAGTGTATGGTATCCTTTATGGGATGGGTCCTAACTCCCTCGCAGAGCAACTTGAGTGTAGCCCAAGAGAAGCTGCTGAAAAAATTGAAACCTTCAAGTCTTCCTTCCCTGGTGTTTCTGCCTGGATGAACGAAGCCGTTGCTTTTTGCTGTGATAAAGGGTCAGTCCATTCGTCCACTTAATCTTTTATTATGCTGCAATTTTCTTTCTTTAATGACTTGTTCGTTCTTTTTTTCTTTTTGAAAATTGACTTTTACTTGCTTCTCTTAGTTTATAATATAAAGCGATATTTACATACGAAGCACACAATTCTTATGTATTTGCATATTTAGCACCTAAACTTTCTAGTCTTCAACTCTAACAACACTTAGGTGTGATAAACCTATGGATGAAATGGTGTATTTAACTTTTTAAAAGTAGGCGATAGTGGCACTTTGTATGTTAAATTAAAGATTGAGTGCTATGCAAGTAATTAATAAAGTTTGGGTGTCAGATATGTAAATACATAAGAATTGTGTGGTATGTATGTAAATGTCCCAGAAAAACTATCGAAGTAAAATTGTTTTATAAGTAGTTTGGAGCTATCTTTGGGCCATTTATAGCTTTGTTTTGTGAGAAATGCTCAGCAGAAGCGATGGTGAAATCTAGTTCAATTGTGCTTTTTTTTTTAATTTTTTTCGTTCTGCCATATATGCTCTATCTATGGTGTCCAAAACCTCACTTTAAAATATTATTTGAACTTGTAGCTCTAGTGACAGAAATGTAACTTTGGGTGATCAATTTATTAGATTAAAAGATGTGGATGATTAGATATCTTGGATCTGTTGTTCAAAGCGATGGTGATATTGATGGAGATGTTAATAGTAGAATTCAAGTTGGTTAGTTGAAGTGGATGAATGCTTTAAACCTTTTGTGTGATAGAAAAGTATCGCCTAGACTGAAAGGAAAATTTTATAAGCTAGCGGTGAGACCTGCAATGCTCTATGGCGTTGGATGTTGTCCTTTAAAAGAGAAGCATAATACTAAGTTAAGTGTTGCCGAAATTAGAATGATTAGGTGGATGAGTGGCTTTACACTTAAAGACAAAATGCGAAATGAATATTTTCGTGATAGGGTTGGTGTAGCTCCAGTGAGGGACAAAATTAGAGAGAGTCATCTTAGATGGTTTGGTCACATTAAACGTCGACCATATGAGGATCCGATTTGGAGAGTAGATGTTTTAGATTCGACTTATGTTAAGAAAAACAGAGGTAGACCTAGGAAGACTTGGGGCTTATTGTATAAAAAATGATCTTAATTTATTAGAACTAAATGAAAATATATCACTAAATAGGACAAAATGGAGAAAAAGGATTCATGTAGCCGACCCCACGTAGTGGGATTAAAGCTTTGTTGTTGTTGTTGTTGTTGTTGTGAGATATATAGTTATGACCTGGAGAAAGCATTGGGCCGTTCCATTTCTTACATATTATCTAGTTTACAAAATGACTCGGGAGCTATCCTTAAGTTTTTGGGGCATTTATATACTTAGCACTCAATTCATATGAATTTACACATCTAACACTAAATTTTGCTTTTTACATCTATACCACCCAAATCTTTAAAAAATTACCACTATTTAACTTTTAAAAAGTGAAATGTACATTTTCATGCTTAGGTAAGGTGGTATGTATGTAAAAATAGAAGTTTAGTTATTGGATATGTAAATACATAGGAATTTAGTGGTATGTATGTTAGCCTTCCTAAGTTTAATAAGCGGTTTTGGAAGTTTATTTTCAAAATCTATTTCTGTTTATGCCAACATAGCCCACTGAGTGTTATGAAATGTTGAAACGGCTTAAAACCCACTGCATTATTGAATTGAAGTTTGAAAAAGTTATTTTATGCATTGCGTATCTAAGCATGCAATTATGGATGCCAAAGGAATTGTTTGCTGGGTTACGAAGTCGATTTTGTGATTTTAGTTTTTCTGATATTTTATTATTTTACTCTTTTGGTTTGTTAATTGTCTTTTATGACATTGTTACTGTTTATGATTTCTTTCCAAAAGTTTCTTGAGATTATTTTAATTTATTTAGACTTTTTGTCTCCTTTTATTTGTTGGATGTGCATCAAAGTTATAGAAGCATGGATTGAGGTGTGTGACATAGGAAAAATTTCCACAATTAAATACTATAAATGCTTGAACTGTTGAAGAACATGAATCAAGGTTTTGCGGCCAAATGTTTTTAATCACAGACTTATGAGTATATTGAATAAATATCATCCATGACATGATTATGTTGGATGTGGGTCCTTGATTCAGTCGTCCATTGTGAACTACATGTGAGATGATGATGATTATATTTATTTTCTTGAGAGTCCTTTGTCATTCAGTCCCTTTTCATCTCTCAATTGCATTTTCTCATAATTAAACCCACCCAAGCTCTATTCTGACACAATTTTATGTAAGACAATGTGGTACAACCACTTCAAAAGCTTTGGTGATGTTGACTACAACTAAAATTTTTTTTTCGAAAAAGTTCCAGCTAGCTGTGATCCAAAGATGCAATGAATTTGCACCTATTATTGTTTATTCATCAACCATGATCGAATGCAACTCCGTTACTCGGTTACATATTTTGGATGGCAATAAATATTATCATCCTGCTTTATAAGCTAGTGCGTTGGTAGCCTTGCTTGCTTTCTTGTAGAGGGTCGGACTTATAGAAATTTATATGTTTATTTGAATTCAAGGCCTCAAGTTGGCGTATAATGTGTATCATATTAGCTGTTGGAGCTTTGATGTTGGAGTGCGGGCTACCCATAACAACATAAAGAAGACATGAATAAAAAATGAGGATGTATATTTTTCATATGAAAAATATAAAATTTTATAAAGATAATTTTGATAGATGACTCACCAAAGTTTTCATGAAGAAGAGAATCATCAACTTTTAAATTTTACATTGAATATAAGCAACGGTCCGACATACATCAACAAGTTTGTTCTCTACTACAAAGCTAGTACATTTTTAGAGTGTCGTCATTATAATTTTATAAAATAAGAAAAAAAAATAGAAATTTCATGTAAAGGATGGCCAACTCATTGATCTATGGACTCTTGAATCTATTATTTAATTGGTTGATTGTTTAATTGAATATATCATCCTAACTTTCCATGCGTGCATTATAGCAATAGAAGAAAGAAGAGAGTGGAGGCAAAAATTTTTAAGCTCCTTTTTTTAGATGTCGTCCTTACCTAGTTGGATAGGGAGTGGTCTTATATTGTTCTTGAAATCTTCATTGATTGCTCCACGTTTATTGAGGTTGACAAAGATTAAAATGTTTCTTTCTTTTTTGCTTTCCAATAACAAAAATTATTACTTTTCATGTTTTGATAATAGCGATATAAATTAATTCTTTCTATATTTGTAAAATAATTATGATTATACTCAATTTTTTTTATGTTGTTGATAGTGATAATGATAACAATGCAATTCCTTTCTTTTTTGGACATTGATCATAATTTGATTTCTTTCCATTACTGAAATATTATTTTTTGTTTACTTTGGATGAAAATAACCACTCTTATTGTCACACCTTTTGACAGCCTCTCCTATTTGATCAAAAGGGGTAGCAAAAATGAGTATAACAAATTGACTGAATTTGTCACCAACATTTACTTAGCACAAAGTGAGTGGGAAAGCTATTCCCTAGAGCTATCCAAATAAATTATACAACATAAACTTTAACTCAATTCAATCTAGTTCTTAACATCACTAAATTGTGTGGAACCTTTCCAATCTTTTATTCATTAAATTGCGGCTCTTTTAATGAAATTGGAGTTTATTTAGGTAACATTAATATTTTTAGACATATGCATACCTGGTAGTATTTTTTTTTTTTGAAGAGAAAAAATATGCATCAAAATTAAGAGTAAGTGATCAAAATTTGAGCCTCAATTAAGTTTAATCTTATCTTTCCTTTTATCTGAAATAACATTCAACATAATATCTGATGAGCTTAGAAGATTAACATGACAAACAAATTTTAATACATAATTCAAATATTCTAAAACTCAAATAAATGTCATTGGCTAGTCATTTTTTGTAATCATTGTAAAATAAGATTACATGGATCACAATTGGTCTTATAGTAAATTATATATTTAATTGAAATAAAACTTAACTGAATATTAGATGTTATAACATTATAGAAGCCATTTTGTTATATGTATAGGTGGTATCATTTTAGTGTAATCTTTTCATATATCTCTCAATTTTTTATTTCAATCATTATTTAGCATTGGTCGGAAACTTTTTTTTTCAGCTTTAAAATCATCTTTGTGGATTGGGCTATAATTGCGTTGAGTCGAGTCAAGTATGTCATAGATTGGACCTGACTTGGTAATATTATAAGTTGTTCATGTTCAACTCGAGCTCTAGCTAAGCTTTTTCATGCATATTTTTACTTTGTTTGTTTAATATTTTAATAATCATACTTAATTAGTACTTAACTTATTTATATTAATTATAAATGTTTTTCAAAGAATTAATAAACAATCTAAAAATTCAAATGAGAATTGGATAGTTTTGTAAAGTTATTAACAAATGATTTATAAATCTAAACAAAAAATAATTGAATAAATTTTGAATTAATATCTAACTACCTTACAACAATGAAATAAGGTAATATATAAGTTGCAAGCAAGTTTTTTTACAAATAATAACATAAACACATTTAAACAAACTAATTCATTGAAATAAATTAGGAAGTAAGTGCATTAAATTAATATGTATTTTCACAACAACAACAACAACACCACCAACACCAAAGTTTTAATCCCACTACGTGGGGTCGGCTACATGAATCCTTTTTCTCCATTGTGTCCTTTTTAATGTCATATTCTCATTTAGTTTTAGTAAATTAAGATAATTTTTTATACAATAAGCCCAAGTCTTCTTAGGTCTACCTCTGTCTTTCGTAACACAAGTCGAATCTAAAACATCTATTCTCCTAATCGGATCATCAGATGGTCGACATTTAATGTGACCAAACCATTTAAGACGACTTTCTCTAATTTTGTCCGTCACAGGAGCTACACCAACCCTATCACGGATATATTCATTTCGCATTTTGTCTCTAAGTGTAAAGCCACTCATCCACCTAATCATTCTC